ATTTATAGAATACAATTTTTTTAAGCTTAATACTCTATCATAATATATAAGAATTAATAGGTATGTAGGTGCCTTTTCAATACATATAATGGGTCACCTAAAATGTCAATAAGAAGAAATGGTTCTCTTGAAAATAAATTGAGTTTATTGTCGATCAATGTAAGGTTTGGTTAATGGTAAATGATAATCTTTATATATATATAATTCTTCTGTGAGTGTGTATGTCACTGAACTTCTCTCAAACGACTGGACCGATTTTGATGAAATTTTTTGTGTGTGTTCAAGGGGATCTGGGAATGGTTTAGATTCACAATTTTGTCCGCTGGACAATGTTTTTTTAATTTATTAGTAGTTGTTGATTTTAGAATGTTTTACATTGGATCCGACAAACAGCGCTACCATCGCAGTGTCAAATTTTAAATAATATTCGAATTAAAGACGTATAGACAGGACAATGTCTGTCGGGTCCGCTAGTTAAATATAAATTCAAAGAAATTCTTTATTTCGTCGTTTCGTCCACAGTAACCATAATCTTAAAGGAAATTAACATAAGGTATTTTGATACTGTTGATGTTTTTCTATCTTAATAAAATTTTCAAGAAGCTTCGATATTTAAAAGTCTAATTTTTCAAAAGATTTACTCTCAAGTCAATGAATAATGCAGGAACGTAAACATGTTTTCGTAGCCGTGAACAACATTTACTTTTACTTAAGAAGACAAAGTATTATCTTCACTTTTTCATATTGATGTTGAATTAGTTATTTATTTTTAATATTAGTAATAAAAAGAAAATTTAAAAATTTAATTATTTCAATATCAAGAAATCATATCATTATTATAATCAAAGATTGTATTATTAATAATTAAGAAAGAACACATAAATTTTTAACCATGTCAACATTTAAATAATACATTTAACCAGATTTAATTCCAAACAGAGTCAAGTTGACTGTGCACTTGAAATGTTTAATATGCATATTACTGAGTAAGTTAGGCAATAAACGTTATACTGGCATTTCATAAAGCTTTCAACGAGCTTTGCAATTAAATATAGTACTGAATTATATGCATTACTAGCTATCGCCCGCGACTCTGTCCGCGCGGAATTAAAAAACATAATTAGTAGCCTACATGTTCTTCCAGACTATTCTATTTGTATGCCAAATTTCATCACGATCCGTTTAGCTATTCTCGAGATACCTTCAAACAAACATCCATCCATTAGTAAGATAAAGTTTTTTTTAGGTGGTGAAAGAGCACCTGATGGTATTCGATTTCGCTAAAAAAGCGAAGCTGTCGCTACCTATAGATATCTCCAACAAGTTGTCGATGGACAGAAGAGGGGAAAGGGGAGAAAATAATATTTCTTCTACATTTTAATCCTCTCTTTCACTAAATTCAATTCTTTTTCCCATCCTTTAGTTATAAAAAGAAGGAAGGAGAACAATACTCGTATGATAACCCCGGAAAAAAAAAATGGCATTTATCTTTAATAAAAATGTGATTTATTTTATTTAATCCTATAGTATAAATCAAATTATGTTCTAAACATTATAAGACGCAAAAACATTAAGGGTAAAAAAGTATACTAACATAGTTACGTATACGATCAATCGTAGGATTTTAGAAGCTTTTCTGATTTATTTATCAACTGTTGCCGATATCTGCCGAGATTTGATTTACGTTTCCTTTTAAGATAACATGTTTCCGGATCATATTATTTATGTGGTGTATCGGATTATAGTTGTCAACTGTAATCCGATAATCCACATAAATTATTTTGGATTAATATACATGGATATAAAATAAACATGAATTTACTATTGTATGTATATTATATTAGTTCTCTTATTTACTTAAAATCATATATGCATTTATGTGTTTTAATGCTCTCTTTGTAGTTTAAAACATTTAATTTAACCCTTGTTATAGACATGATGCGTCGAAACGTCGGTGGCTCAGTGGTCAACCATTTGACTTGCAATCTGCAGGTCCTGGGTTCGAGTGGGATTCGAACCCAGGACCAATATGTTTTCCGATTTCCGAATTGCTTATGTACATTTTATCCGACGTTCCTACGGTGAAGGAAAACATCGTGATGCAACCTGCACATAGCTGAGAAGAAATTCAAAGATATGTGTGAAGTCAACCAACCTGCACTAGGCCAGCGTGGTTGACCATGGCCTAATCACCCTTAACTTAGGGTAAGCTCCGAGCCCCTCGGTGGGGACACATAGTGAGCTGATGATGATGATAGACATAATGAAAGCTATTTTAAACTTGAGGAAAACATACGTACATGTATGCGTAAAAATGTATGATTGTAAACGACACGAGAGAAGTGTATCTGGAACGCACCAAACAGAGGATCGTTGTCTCTGCCTACCCCTATGGAGTAAGGGTATGAGTTATTTTGTTGTTGGCAAAAGACTGGGTAAAAACTTTTATTAAATAAATCTATCATTGTGTTGTTGTTTTAAGAACTCGTTTACTCTCACGAGCGATTCACTACTTGCAACTGTCCTCGTCTGATCTTTACGGTGACAAGTGAACTAATCCTTTTATCTTTCTAGATCGAGTGTTTTCTTGTAGGAAGTAATGATTATTTCCGTGTTTATTCTCTAAGAATCTAACGATTTTCTACTTTTCTAGTTTTTGTATGGAGAAAAAGTTACTAGAAAAAAAAATAAACTGTTCCATTGAATTCATGTATACATTTAGTGACAAAATCACGATAAGAAAAAAACCCTTTCGACCTTTATTATCAAATATATGAAACATTAAAATATTTAACACAATTTTCTCGTTCCTTCACTATCAAATCTTACTATTATTATAAATGCGAAAGTTTAGATGTGGGAATGGAGAGATATTTGTTAGAAAGTATCTCCTGGAAAGCGCTATATATCTCGATGAAATTTGGCATGGACGTAGAAAATAGTCTAGAAGAAGAGGTTACTAATTAAATTTTTCATGAGTTGTGGATTAACAACTATTAAATTAATATTACACTGTAAGTTAACAATAGTTTTATTTATTTCGTCAATGGAAACTCATCCTTAATTTCACCAGACGTAGTGTTTGCTGATTCCGTTGACATTAGCTCGTACGTACCCTTAATCACACATTTACCCTTCCACGTGAGCTGTAATTTTAGGGATTTATAAACATTTTTGTTTTTAAGTGTTGATTCCAAATACAATGTTATAGGCGAGTTATTTTAATCTATCCCACAATAAGATGTCTTGTGTAAGTATTTAAATAAATAAATGAAATTAAAAATATATTGTTAAAATTGGACTAAAAATATTTTTACAGATTAAATAGGGCTCTGTGTTCTGCACTAGGCTTAACCTGTGTTACAGGAGACAGCGTCTTCTCATATTTGTGATCTTATGTTACTAAGATGTAAAAAGTATCACATTTGTCTGTACAAAATTTGTTATCATTCTGTTAATGTTTTTAAAATTTTTAACTAACAACTACAGGGAATCACACAAGCATTAAATGTGGATGGCTATAAAGGTAGAGATAGATTGAAAATATGGATAGATTGTGTGAAAGAGCATTACGCATAAGAAGGAAGTGAATTCAGATATGACGGCTGATAGGTGCATGGAAGAGTACAAATTGTCCAAGCCTTTGTAGGGAAAAGTTCAAGATAATGATGACAGTAAGAAGTAAATCTTTACAATAAAATTATATTATATTTTGATGATATTACATTGTTTTATTCAGATTTAACTTTAAATATTTAATGATCTAATTCCCTTTTTTTTTGTTTTCGACATCGTTAAGTACTTCGAATGTATAATTAATTTCTTTCGTGAATTTTTATTACGAAATCTATTTGTATTTTCAAGTAATTTCCATTTCCAAGAAAAGTAGAGAGTTTGTTCAACTATATAGAATTACATAACTAATGAACAGATGTTAGACACTTTAGGAAAATGTGATGCCTTAGATTAAAAAGATTTTTTGAATTTATTATTAAGTCATCTGAAAGCTTTCATTTATAGTTAAATCTGATAATTGAATATGATTATGTCTCACTCAGAGTCTTACAATGATTTCTTAAGTAGTCAAATAGATGTAAAGCACTAAATGGATGGGATGGATGGGAAGTGGAAGTGGACTTTCCGGATGAGGGAATGCATGGTAAGGGAAAATATTTTCTGTGCTTCCCCTCTTCCGTCGATGAAAGGCACGCATATGCAATTGCGTATGTCTATATGCAACGGTCGTTTCGCTATTTCAGCGATTTCAAAAGGCCGCTCGCTCGTTGGCCACCTTTTAATATAAAAAAAAAACAAATCAATCAATCTTAGTGAGATTGTAATTTTAGTAAGTAAATAGTAGTAATTCTAGTAAGTAGGATAATAATATTAGTAAACACAACAAAAGTAAAACAATTGTTGTTGTAAAATGCAGAATTTTTATTTCCTTTTCTTATGGATTAACAAGTTTTCCATACATTCACAACAATGTTGGATTGTAAGTGCAATTATTCAAATGTATTCGACGCGTCTACGAAGAACAATCGTAAAATTATGGCGCCTGGATATAAATAAAATTGAATGAGGAACAAATCACGTTTGATAAATACAGGAAATGTATTTTGTAGCTAAAATAAAAAAAAAATATATTGAATATTTTGAATAAGAATAACAGCGTTAAGCGGCTTGGGGGTCAAGCACTTGAGTTGCAATCTGCAGGTCCTGGGTTCGAATCCCGCCATGTACCAATGTGTTTTTTCTATGTCCGATTTACATATGTACATCTGACGATCTTACGGTGAAAGAAAACATCGTGATGCAACTTGCACATATCTGAGAAGAAACTCAAAGATATGTGTGAAGTCAACCAACCCGCACTTGGCCAGCGTGGTTAACTATGGCCTAGTCACAACTTACTTAGGTTCCGAGTCTCTCATTAGGAACTTATATTGAGCTGATGATGCTACTAAATATTTAAAATAACCAATTCATTTGTTTCACAGCATCCGTAGCTCGGATTACAAAGTTCCTGGGCAATACTGGTATACCTCTAGTGACGACTGGCGGCCTCACGTTCGACTTCGTTCAGCCAAAACAAAATTGTCACCACGAATATTACATGATGGTGCGCTCCGGACCTCTCGGCTTCAAGGATATGGCATACTTCATCATTGATATCATGAGACAGTTAGTATCTACATTTCATTCATTAATCTTTTTATAAATGTAAGTAAAGTCAGGCTGTTTAAATCGTTGGCAGTATATTTCTGTTTAACAAGTAAGTGTTTTTATTTATTAGTTTAATGGTATTGGTTTTTGGGGCAACTATTGGTTATGTACTCGTATCATCAAACAAACAGGTGAGTAAGAAAAAATATATTATAAAATTATTTAAAGTCTAACGACAGTTTATATCACACTAGCTGTCGCCCGCGACTGTGTCTGCGCGGAATAAAAAATAATCATACTTAGTAGCCTATGTGTTCTTCCAGACTATGTTAAATATGTATGTCAAATTTCATCAAGATCCGTTCAGCCGTTCTGGAGTTACCTTGAAACAAATATCCATGAGTCCATCCATCCATCTAAACATTCGCATTTATAATATTAGTAAGATACAATTTAGTATGTTTTACTTTTTCCGAGTATTTCAAATTAGATAATTAAGTTCAGAAAATTAAAAATATAGTGGTAGGATGAATATCCGGCACTATGCCGGTGTACTAGCGCAACACTAGCCTTACTAAATTGTCGACGTTTATGTCCCCACACTAATCATTCTGACACTTGACTTGGTAACGAAAGCGCGCCATTCGCTTTAAATGACTCTAACTAATAATGTCTAAAATTATTCATTTAAAATTTAAATGTAACACACAATAAATAACAGGATTTCTTCTTAATTTTCAAATATTATAGTTCTAAGCGCCCTTTTATAAAGTAATAGTTGGGTAAAAATAATAAAAACTTTCTAAAATATAACTAGCTATCGCCCGCGACTCCGTCCGCGTGGTATTAACAATAGATATTGGCCGATTCTCAGTCCTACTCGACATGCTAACAAAATTTCATGAGAATCGGTCAAGCCGGAGGAGTATGGGAACGAAAATTGTGACACAAGAATTTTATATATAAGATTTACTAAACGGCGTCTGTTATAAATAACAACAACAACAAAAACAAAAGTTATTGTTAAAGTCTGGACCAACAATTAGGTGTGGTTCAATTAAAATATTATTAATCAAGTTTAATGTTAACCCAAATTTTCAATACAAGAGTTTCGTATTTAATTGACCTTATTCACTCCTCACGTTGTTAATCACGTTGTTTCGTTTACTTATAATTCAGTATTATTAAATGTAAACATAGCCTGAATATTTATCAAATTATTCCTTATTCCAGTGAAAAAAGAGCTTTAAATAGAATCTTACTTCTTGTCTTACAACCATTATAATAACGAATGTTAAGATGGATGGATGGATGTTTCTTTAAAGGTATCTCCAGAATAGCCGCATGGATCTTATTAAAATTTGGCGTAGATCTAGAATAGCGCCTAATATAGACTACTAATTATGTTTTTTAATTCGGCGCAGACAGAGTCGCGAACAGCTAGTGTAAGAATAAATTCACGTATTTGAACTCTAAGTTGAGTAGATATTTTTTATATAAAAAGGACAATAAAGAAGAAATCCCTTCAATTTAGAATTTAAATATCGCCGCATCGATTCTGAAACATATTGACAGGAAATGAAGTGTTTCATTTTAATTAAATCTCGCTTTCAATTAAGCTTCGGAATCGAACAAATAAACTTGAAGATAACACGATACACCATTTTCTGATTTACTCAACCATCAACGTACTAAAGAGATTAGATTTAGCTATATTTAAATAAAATATACATAATTGTAATACCCCAAAACATAGACGCTGTTTAGCTAAACATGTGTTTTAACCCTTTGGACGTCTGCGTAGAATATTATGGATGTCAAAGTTGTTACTTTCAGTGGAAGTATTTCATTATTTATTGGACAAGAACTAATTTGTGTTCATTAGCCATGATTTGTCAAAAATCAACGGTCATTTTTATCAAAGCTATTTCATAAATTTCTTAAAAATCTTCTAAAAAATTAAACATTTAAACTGATATAAAAACGGCTAAACACTCACGTATATTCGTCCGGTGGCGGCACCGACTAGTTTCGAGCCCATCAGGGGCCCTTCATCAGGATGAGATTTTATATCAGTTTAGTATGATGTCTGAATAATTAAAAAAAACTTTTATTTTGAAATGCGTTCGTAGACATTTTACGTTATGTTGGTAGATTCTAGTAATGTGCTATTTATATTTAGTCCTTTGTTGAGTGGACGATAGTAAAAATGGCCAGAAATAAAATTTAATCAAGTTAATGCGCAAATATTCAATATAATCAATTCTATTTCAAGTGAACTGGAGGTAAATAAAAAAGTTTTTGTTGAAACAGATGAAGAGGCTTTTGACGTTATCTGTATTTGTACAGCGGAGTGGATGTGACGTGTAGGAGATAGTGCATTTGGTGTACGCAAATAGAAGGGCCCCGAAATTGAATTGGTACCTGTCCCAAAGTGTTTACGTTAAGTGCTTTTCATAAATAAAAATAACGTTCATAATGAGAAAATTGATAGATTATCAGAATTAGTTATCGTCTAGACATAAAAGTTTGAGTAGTTGTAATGTTAGCATTTTATCCATTTTCTAAACTTACTAGGATTTTAATGGTTCTTTACATAAATGTTAGTATTAGTAATGACTCTTTATTATCAACTTTACTAATTACATTATCTAAAGCTGGGTATTGACTATTAGTTCTGAAATTACAAACAGTTACATGGTACTGGCTTAATGAAAAAAGAAACAGATTGATATTTCAACCGAATTTTCTGAGTTTTGAATAAATAATAATGACTAAAAAATTGAAATGTAATGATAGAAATTATAATAATAGTATAATATAAATTTAATGTGTGAATATGCACGATTTTAGCACAGAGTGATATTGCACTAACACGCTTTTTATTTCCGCGCCATCTAGTTACGACTGGAGACAACTTCTGTTGATCAACGAGCCGGAGGCACAAGTACACGTAGCGGGCAAATCGACTTGCCTGCTCATGATGAAAACGTTCGCGAATTATTTGAAAAAAGAAGACATCATTTATACACCGTGGGATACCACGTCAGACGGCGGCCTCAATTACACAGAAAATCTCAAGTTCTACCTCGGTTACAAGTACACGAGTAAGTACATTTTTGTTTAATTAATTTAAGCGTACACTGCTGTGTTAAGGTAAGTAATTTATAAAAAACGCTATGTTGTTCGAATAATTAGGATTACTTTCCCAGGAACAATAAGACGTTTTAGGGGCCTTTTCCTATTTTTGGTGCCTACATTCATGTTCCTTTTCAGGATGAAATTTTAGTTTGCGATATTTCCCATAGATGACAGTTTTCCATATTTTTATGACTACGCAAGACAATTGAAGTATTTTATAATATCTTATTAAACGATCAATTTTAATTCACAATATGTTAATATTTATTATAACAAACACCGCGCGAATATACAATATATATAACAAATCTGTTAGCATAAACCATACGAGTTTGAAACAAATACATAGATGGCTCTTTTATATTTCATAGATTTTTAATTTACGTCACTGGTAATAGATGGCGCTATAGGTGGCATAAAAATTTTAATATTTCTACAGATTTGCCTGGCGCAGAGCAATAATCCTATACGAAACACCCGCTTACAAATCATTCGTTGGGGCTAGTGGTGGCTTCCTAATGGCTAGTACTATTCACGAGTACATGATGTTTGAAGGAATCTCGGTATTCGGAAGGGAAATGCAACCTCAACAGACTTATGAGGACTTGTTACTTCAAAATGTCGGCAATAATTTCGCCAGTGAGTCAATTCACGTTTTACAAGGGGTGTTCGCACAGTTTGGTTTTCCTAAAATAATTTTCACTAAATTGGAAAAAATTGTTTGGAGTCACTGGTGTTTGAGTATATTTTCAATCGACGATAACAAGGGCTGCTAACTTTTTAACAATTTTATTTTGAAATGTATATTTTTTTATTTACCGCTATATGTTATTCGGTTTGTTAAATTATTTTAACAAGAAATACTACAACATTTCAGTATTAACACATATTTTGACAATGGTCTTCAAATAAATACAATGATAAATAAATAAAAATGTTAATTTTTTACGCTATTACATAAAAATCGAACTATTAAATTGCAATATTTAATAAGAAATAATTAAAAAAGTACACACAGTTAGCAACCCTGTGACTTTCACTTAACATTTATGAGATTTTTATAGCCTACAGGGCTTTATCACGAAAATTTATGCACGTTTGGATTTTATGAGTAGCACCAGCACAGTTTGATAGTTTTATAATTACATTAAGATTGTTTCAAGGATCAAGTTTAGGATTTAATGCTGACAACTCACAAAAAGGACATTAAAAGGCATAGCTGTATAGCTGATAGTTTGCAATGTTTTTTGTTGTCGTCTTATTTAACAGGGCAGAGTACCGTTCGAGATTTTTTCGTAGTTTGTTGGAAAATTATTATTTTTTATAATGAACTAACATTGTTTCTATCAACTTGTTCCATTCCTTTATTTCTGACAATAAATGAAGCGTCCAATCAATTCTTTCAAGAGCGAGATTAATTTGAAAAAGGGTGGAGCTAATTCTTATATCTGTTTGATAAATTATCATTGCCATCTTTTTCCTTTAATCAATTAATTTATTATCTATCGAGATTCAGAATCTAATTACTTCTACTAATGAATCTTTTATATGTTATTTACTGGTCATCTACGTTTTTCTTGTGAGGGGACATAAACGACGACATTTTAGTAAGGCTAGTTGTGCCTGTACACCGGTACAGTGTCGGATTTTCTTCCTAACAGTAGATAGTATAGTAACAGACTCAATCTTCCCTTAAGCTACCCACATCCTAATTGGATGGAAACATTTCGGGCAACTTAACATACTCAATGACCGTAGCTTGACATCGTAGATGTAACGATCATGTTACACTATTTGCTCGCTTGTGTTTAACCACCAGTTAACGATAATTAGTTTGTGGTTGAACCTTAATTGCGGCTTAGATTTTGGTCATCCATTAATTTGAATTCAAACGGACTGTAATCTTCATTGGTTAGGATATGTCTGTATATGTATATACAAAATGTATTGAAGTTCAGATGTACATATGAACTTCTATACATTATGTATATTATAGATTAAATAGAGACACATAATATAATTATTAACTGATTTGTATTAAATTTTGATATTTGGTAATTAATATTAGTCTTTAGCTGTCAGCGATCTCTACCTACCCTGTCTACCCTCTGGGTTAGGGGCATGAGCTTTGTCGTTGTTGAAAAATAAGAGAATTTTATTCCTTTTTAATAATCACACACGTAGTAAGAAGCAAACTTGAATAAATTGGAAAAGCTGTAATAAAAAGCTGTCTATAACTGTGATCCTTCAGAGGCTTTGCTTCGCATTACAAGCGCGAAAGCCTCGGAGGTCGTTGGCTGTAACGGCGCGGCTAAAGACCGGGGATCTTTGATAGCTTTCAGTTCGTTTCATGTAAGCATAATATTGCAAGTAATAAAAGTCGTCTGCATTAACATTTCAATTTTGTTTTCATAAACTTTTCTCATATACTTACCAGGGTTTTCTTGGGTTGTATATTTCCTATTTCCGTAATTTTTTATTGCTTACGTAATGGAGATAACAATATGTTTTTGTACAGGTCTTTGAGTTGGAATCTCACAGTACGATTCTGTTACTCTATATATATATATATATTTTCACTAAAGTAATAAATAAAAATGTCAACCTAATGATGATAAGTCTAAAACAAGTTTACATTTTTTTCTTTTACTATATCATTATATTAACTGTTTTCATAAAATCTTTGTAACCAAACTTATTTGGATCACCGCCAAACTCGTGTCCTGTTACCAAAGACATAACATTCCGGTTGACCTGATCGTTCTATAGATTAGGTAGTTGATATCTTTAATTAATCGCCTATACAGATATAAATTCAATTACTAACCTAATTTATATATTAGTCTCTATATACTCTTTTTCGTAGATAGTATATAAATGTTTTTCTTCATAAATATTTTTATGGCTTTGTTTTTTTGTAACAGGTCAACAATTGATTACAATTTCCTTAAACTTTTTGTTTTTCCAAGGTAATTTATATGTAATGTAACATACAAGAAGGGCGGTATTAAAACATCTGAAACCATGCATCGGTTTATGTAGAAGTATGAATGTAGAAGAGGCATGAAAGGTGTGTCAAGACTGCGCCAAATCGAAGTCTCTGCTCTCTGCCTAACCCTTCTGGGTTAGGGGCGTGTGTCATTTTGTTGTATTCAAATTCCTTAGAAATTCTTTTATAGAAACCCCAGTGCATTGTTGGTTAAAAACTTGTGTGCTGTAATTATGTATACGCCTTCCTTCACTTAAGTGTTCGCAAATTTCCTTTTTAATATAATTATTTTCATAACTCGATACATTAAATCCTTTGTGGAAGACAGGGAGAATTTCCAGAGAGCTTTTAACCAATAAATGATGTAATTACTTTGCCAACCTCTCTACATAATTACAGGTACTTGGACGTAAAAATTAAAAATGTTCAATATACAAGTTGATTTTAATATAACCAAACACAGAAATTCGATTATTTTCCTACTCAGCTAAAACGAAAAAAAAGTATTTTTAGAGTTCCGTACCTCGAAAGAAAAAAAACAGAAACTTTATAGGATCACAGTGTTGTCCGTCGGTATGTCTGTTAAAACCCTTTTTTAGTTAAGTAATATAAATTATAACCATTTAATATGAACGTGCATACGCCTGGACCTGGATGCAGGTAGCACAGGACCGGTCATCGTGGCGATCTTTGGGGGAGGCCTATGCCTAGCAGTGGGCGACTTACGGCTGAGAAAGAAGAAGAAGAATATGAACGTTAGCTCTACCATTGGACTATTATAAAAATAAAATCAAATTTATTTACGCGAAATATTTTTTTTTATGGAACAACACGTAAGAATAAAAAATTTACTCTTTTATTGTATATTTTGTGGCTGTCAGAATACATCTTATAAACATTCGAATAACATCGCTAGCCGAATAACAGGAGCGACACAGCGTACATTTTTCGCATCATAAATGTATCACGCTTGTCCTCCTTTGTTTGTTGATTTAAAATCATTTTATGGCATAAACGCAAGCCAAGTTTGCAAAAAAAAAATAACCACAGAATGAATTAAAAAAAAATTAAGAAACATTTCAAAATTTTACTTTGTCTGTGGTTCAAAAGTTTTCAAGCTTGAAATATTTTCTTTTATACACAAAGAAGTTAAATTGTACAATAATATATTATCAATATGTTTGCATATATTGCAGTTTTGCAATTGCATATTGCTGCAAATTTTTGCTATTCGATGCATAAGATTTCATACAGTTCTTTGAGCACGAGTCTTTTGAATTGCAGATTTATTGTTACTTTCAAATATCATGCATAGAGAATTGTTTCTTTCGATATGCGACAATATAAAAATGTTGCTTTGTTCTCCTATTTTTATCATTTATTTTTCGTTAATGACAAAGATGGTTATGCAGTATGTGTGTGCGTGCGTGGGTGTGTGTGTGCTTTTGTGTGTCTGTGAGTAAGTGTGTGAGCGCGTATGTATGTTTTTTTATTAAAGTGTACTTATAAGATTATTTGGTTACTGAATTGTGGCAACTTATGGCAGTACCTTTAACTTTTGATTTTTTTATTTTGTTTTTATTAAATCCTTATTGCTCACTCAAAATAATCTTTATCGACATTTAGCTGTCGTGTTTCCAGATAGCGGATAATCCCCGAAGGGATGATAGAATGACTTTCTTAATCTTAATGGATTTCGAAAAGTAAATCCAGTCTGTATTAGTGCAATACTTAAGTCCATTTTTATTATTAATTGAAAATGTGTACTGGAATTATTACTAAGAAAGATTAATTTAAGATTAAAGTCAAATAAAATAAACTATTAGATTTTTACGCATTTCTGGAACCGCATTACATTAAGTAAGCTACAATTTATTAAAACCGTCGTTGAACTTTGCAGTTAAAATGTTGACAAATAGATACAGTCTAGTAATGATAAATAAATAGTTTATTAGGGTAACCTAAGTATGAATAAATTACAAAGTAGTAGTACGTTGATTCCTAAACTAGGTTCTAAACCCGTATTGTATGAGACAGAACTCTTTCGTCTTAGTGCTATAGTTTAAGTGAAAGTAACATTACAATATTGCTTGCCTTACTTAAGAATTACAAAAAAAAGTAATTTACAATTAAAATAGCTTAAATATTTGTGCGTATGTGTATGTGTGCACGTGTGGATGTTTATGTTCGTGGATGTATGTTTCTGTGAGATAATGTATGGGTTTAAAGGTTTCTATATAATAAAATCAATGAGTTTAAATAGTATGTTAAATGTTTTAATTGAAAAATAACTTTTCATTAGTTTATTTTTTGTAGTATTCTATCAAGATTAATTTAAACATACTATAATATTTTGTAAGTGAATTCAGTTAAGTCAGATTCTTCGGTATTGAACTCGACTAAGCTCTTGAAATCAGGACAAAGGAATTGTTTGCAGCTTTCTTGTAAGAAAAGTTTAAGGTGATTAACTTTTCGGGAGAGCTCTCTTAGTTAATTCCAATTAAAATTAATGAGAAGTAAAACCTTAAATCGTAAAAGTAAATCAAGTTTGTCCAGAAAAAAATATGAAAAAAAACATTGCTCCAACGCACACTGGGCAATTTTTCGACTTTTATAGACACATTCGT